AATCGTCTATTCTAGAATATGCTGGATCCCTTGAAGAATGTTGACTAAACAATCTAGAAACACCAATTCTTAGTCGAAGGACGTCTATAATATTCGAGAGCAACTTTAGAGCGCCACATATGTATACAAATAGATCAAAGTATAAACTTTTGCCGTTTGAGTTCAGTTCTAGTTAAGATATCGTTCTGTTTGAATAAATATTGTCAATGTATATTAGTGTATCAGTAAAAGAAATATAAATATGTGTTTTATTTAGTAGACATAATTTCAGTTATAAAATAAATTAGTAAAAATAAACTAAACTGTTTAAATAAATTAATATTACAGTACAAAAAAAACTTCCTTTCTTTGTTATAAATTCTGTAAAAGAACAAGTTTTTTTATTTATTTTATTTTATGCCAAATATACAGAACAGGTCCAATTTATAATGCAAACAGTTATAAAATAATAGAAGATATAAGTTTAGAATATTGCAAATATTAAAAGATTAAAAAATTACCTAAGACTATTTACAAAGTTTAAATTTTAGTAATACAAAGATGTCATGCACTCAAAAATAAGGACAAGGTCTAGATGTAATAGGTATGATTTTAATTTCGACTTTTGCATATTGCAAACGTCAACTTCATTAGGATGGCTTTTTAAATATCAATTTAGTGGTTTAAGGCATCTTTGGATGGGCGTATTGAATTAGAGTATCTCTGGGTTTTAGTCGTATATCAGGTATACTTAAAATGATCTTAGATAATACATATACAGAGTTCATATATCCTAATGGTGCCAAATATAAAAAGAATTGAGGCATGTTCTATACGTTTACTTGGCAATTTTGGTAGGAGATAAATATTGGATAAACACCATACTTTTTACAGTGCATTTCCCTTAGAAGTTTTTTTCAAATTCTTTCTAACATTTCAGATCCAGAAATTGTTTGAGGGTTCCATATTGGATTGCAGTATTCTAGTTTTGATCTGACATAGGAATTAAAAAGTAAGATAGTTGTATGATAAGTAAAGTCGTGACAAGTCCTTAGAACAAATCCCAGTGTTCTGTAACACTCGTATGTTAGATGTTTCTAGTGATCAATGAAAAGGAGTTTCTTATTGAACACAACACCAATATCTTTAATAGTATATTTAATACTTTGAGTTCAGCTCTGTTAATTTTATACTTACCTCTTATTTGTTCATTTTTTCTGGTATGTGTTATTGGATTCATTTAGGGACAAATCACTGAGTATACAATTATATTAATATCAGACTGAGGAACATCTACATCCTTACGAAAGCTGATTTATAAAAATAGTTTTATGTCATCTGCAGAAAGTAAAAATTTTTGATAATTTAATGTATTCATTGATATCATTTATAAACGGGATGAAAAGTAGAGGTCGTAGTGTGGATCCCTGGGGTACTACTGAAATATTTTTAAATATATTGACCACTACATTGTTGTTATTATTACGACATGTTAGATATGATTTCATAAAATTTATTAAATTTTCATTGAAACCAAACCCTTTTAGTTTTCCTAATAAAACATTATTTACCTTATCAACTAGGTCTTTGTATATCGTGTCAATTTGACGATGGTCAAGTTGAGAAGCCACATAATTAGTAAAAATGCAAAGATTGGTAACTGTTGATTTTTTGGAAAGAAATCCATGTTGTTCTTGAATTATCGAAGACGGTACATGTTTCTAAATGTGGTTGGTATTTTTGGTTCCGATTTTCAAATTTTAATGTGTAATAAATACGTACTCTTGTATGTAACATAACGATATAATCATTAGGAAAATTCTGACAAGGATGGAATATGTTAATAGAAGAATATTTTTTAAGGTACTCACCTTTTATTTTTCGTATTCGGAAATCGAAATGAATGATTTTGTCTCGTTCTCGTCTTTATTTATACTGCCAACAGTTCTACAACTTCGTTCACGAGAATTTATTACACCATATTAGTGTGACGTAATTTTGGTTCCACTTTAACTTTCAACCAAATTTTTAACACAAATTATTATTAATTTTTGTTATTAATATTTTTATTTTTTTAACGGATATATCATTTAAACATAATACAATATGCATGAGAACGTTAAAAAGATAATATAGATATCACATAGCATTAGATATTACAATTTAATAAAGAAAATTATACATGTAAGTCTCATAAATTTAAAGGTGAGTTTAATATTCCTATGTGAGCATTGTAATTATTCGCAATGACTAACAACATTCAGGGAATTGGTACTATTACGTTAAGGCAACATTGTATTTATTTATTTCCTTATAGCGCTGGCGTTTTATTTGGTAATTGAGGGGAATCCCCAACGTTGTTTCGCATTCGCAATTTTCACACGCTTGTTTATTTTTGTTTAGCTATGACTTACTATAGTTATTTTATTCCTATTAGTGTGTTAAATATATTAAATAGTGTGTTAAATATGAGTTCAGAATGCAGTAGGGTTTACTTCGATAAAAAAGAAAATCGTGTGCACTGTAAATTATCTACTTACAATTTCATACACAGAAGTAATACCAGTAATTTTTAGAATCAAGAACCAAACATCATACCAAAATAAACAGGTATAAATTATACGTTAATCGAATAATCAAATATTGGAATACTCGTGTACTCGAATATTCAAATATTTCGAAATATTCGAATGGTGAATAATTTGGGTATTCGAATAAAGTTTCGAACGAATATTCGAATACAAAAATCTGAAATATTCCGAGCCCTAATCTGGTCGATTAGTGATGATGCGGATTTCTCTGTCCCAGTATAGTTTGTAATTGTAAGTTCTCTAATACAGGAGCAGGGTCTATTTGTAGTAGGGTTTATCTTAATTAATCAGTCCTGAGTTCTTCCCTAGCTGTTGATGTATAATTCTGGCTACATTGTTATGTCTTTGCGTGTAGTCCATTGTTGCCAAAGTTTGAGATTCGCCTTGTTCAATAGTTTCGTTTGGTGATTCACACCTATATTTGTCAATGATATTTTCATCTTTCAATATGAACTTTTGATAGTTTCTTGTATTCATTACTCGGTCTTGTATGGCGCCTATGAATCCGACTGTTTCTGCAAATAGAGTTCCTCTTAGATATAGGTTTGATGCTTCAGTATCAGTATTTTCGTGAAGCAGGTGATTTGCGTGACTAACATGCAGTTTTTTGCTTCCATCTTTGTATTCGGGACTGGATCGAATATCTATTATCTTCAGAGTCATAAAGGTGTGCTTTTTGTATCTGCTTGACATACTGTTCTAAACAAGGTCTGATTAGTGGATTTTTAATGGAAGTATTGTCTGAGAGACTTTATTTGCGATTGGTGAAGACGGTTGATATCTAATATGCCTACACCTCCTATATCTGTTGGTAATAATATTCTTTTTATGGCTGATTTGGGATGATGCATTCGATGTTTTGTTAATATTACACGAGTCGTGTTCGAGATATGGATTCTAGGTCAGTAGCGGACCATTTTATAATACGAAAGGAATATGTGTCGATATGGCATATGTATTTATAGCTTTTACTTTGTTTGAACTGGTGAGATTTGATTTGCATCTTGATTGTATTCTTTTTTAAAGTCGTCTATTAGCTGCACTTTAATTTCACTGTGGTTGATTCCTCTAAGTTGCATGATTCCTAAGTATTTATAATTGTCTTCTGAACTAAGGCTTTCTATGACTTTATCGTTGTCCACATTAAAAAATTAGAGCTATTTAAGGTACTTTTATAAAGATCAATTATTTTGCATTTATCCAGTCCAATTTCCTTATAGAGTCACTGAAAGTTTTAGTAATAGAGTAATAAGTTTTCTTCTACAGTTTGTATATATTTTTAGATCGTCCATATATAAAAGGTGGAATATTTTGCAGTTATTTCCATGTTCGTTTTTTAATAATAAAGCCATATTGAGTGTTGTTTAATGTTCGACTTAGTGGATTCAAACACATACAGAACCATAGAGCGCTTAGTGCATCTCCCTGAAATGTTCCCAGTCTGATTTTGATCGATCCTGATTTATGAGTTTTCTTGTCTCCTGATAAATGCAACTCCGTTGACCAGTTGGTCATTATATGTTCTAAAAAGTTTGTTATAGCTGGGTAAATTTTATAGATTTTTAATATTTCGATCAAGTGTGAGTGAGGCACTGAGCCAAAGGCCTTTTTATAGTCTATATAGGTCATGCCCATATTTCTTTGGTTTTTAATAGCCTGATGTACTGCTACTGTATCAATTACAATTTAATCTTTGCAACCCTTTGAATTTTTATAGCATCCCTTCTGTCATTATTATTATTATTATTATTTTTTCTCTTTTTCAAGATTGTTGATGAATTGGTATTCCTACGGAATCAGTCAATTTATTAGGCTTTAAATTTTTTTTAAGTGCGAGTGTATTATTATATTATTATTTATGAATGTTTAAAAAACTATATAATTTAGATAAATAAAAAAAAATAATAAACAGGTCTACTGGCACTGCATCTGTCACTGTAATTGTCATTGGAACCAAATATATCATCACTAATTTGGTGTATTATTCTGTATTTACTCCACCTTATACTTCGATAAAGCTTTATAATTTGGCTCAGCCAATACACGAATTTTAAGATCTGGAAGTGAAATTACGTTAGTAAATCTTAACAATATAGCGTCGAGTTATTTTACTTCTCGCTTAGAGTACTAATACAATAATACCCCTATAAATGGTTGTTTCTTGTTTTCACCTTAAACTGTGTCTAAAGTAGGTCTTGGAATAATTCACGCAGGTTGGAGCGTACGTTTCTTCTTTTTATGTGTCAGTTTGGATTTAATTCAGAGCCGTGTACAGTTGTCACGAATATGACTATCTTTTTCAGTTATTGCCTTTAAACACATTTTTGTGAATCGCTCTTAATTTGATGGAATATATTCAAATATGATACATAATTATTATTAAAAGTATACTGTTTCTGTTTTTAATTGATTTTTTTTTGTATCTGCTAGGAGGTAGCAAGAAAGTTGACTGATCAACAAACTGAGACTCATGAACAGCGGACCAAACTAGAACAATCGATACAAGAACTGGAGGCTAAATTAGAATCTGAATCGGCCAAACTTTTAGATCTCCAATTAAAACTTCATGAAATGAATGCGTTTTCATTGCCTGGCTTTCAGAACATTGGATCTATGGTACCAGAAACGGTAAATAACCGTTTTACTTTTATATTTAAAAAATAAAATACGTTATGTTTATTTAACCGGTTAAAGTTACGATAGCCATATAATTAAAAAATAGTTCCGACTTTGACGAAAATGTTGTTTGCATTTTTAGATTTTTTTAACAGTTTTTTTATATATATTTTGAAATTTAATTTTTGCTCTTAAATAAGTTAAAAAGAAGTGTTCATTTATTACTTTTTATTTAGTTATATCAAACATTTTGTAGGTAATTTCGTTTCTATCTAGACTTTTTAGAGCAAGCTTGACACAAAATATGAAGATTTAACCTAAAACACAGGTAAAATGGGCTTCCTTACTGAGTTATGATGTTTTACTTCAAATGCTACGCCATTGAAGTATATGTATTCTTGTTTCAATCACACATGAGTTTCCTGTAGAGTTATGAAAAATATTGAGTACGGTCCATGTAATCAAAAATTATTTATTTAGAATATGAATCAATGATAAAAAAAATTTCATGTCTTCATTACCAACGAAAATTTTGTTAAAGTTTCTCCATTACGGTCCTTTTTAGAGAAGTTATGTGTAGGACATTATTTATTTATTTATTTAAAACATTTATTCACCTGTTAAATATTTAAAATATATACATTACATAAAATAACAGAACACATTTCCTATCAGAAATGTGCCGGCCTTGCAGGTACCCGCTGGGCCAATGGCGATATCTTCACCTATAGTATGCATTGTTGTTTATTAATTTTGAATTTGGCTAAATATAGCAGCCCTTACTCCTTACCAGGGAGGCATAATTAAGGGATTAAGGATGTCTTGAAGTCAGTAATTGTAATGGTTTGTAGATTTGTCTTGTGTTAGTTATCTTTATTGTCCCCTGAAAAAGCTAGTAAAAAACAGGGTTGTCTTTGTATGTAAATGGTCCTGTTCGTAGTCTATGTTTTTTTGTCACAATTCTCAGGACAATTGGCCGAAGAGTCCTCCGAAAATGCCGCAATCGAGGTGTAAAGTGCTCTCGATTGGGGCTTTGTCGGCCGGCTCATCGCTCAGTCGTCCTTGCGACTAGATTTCGTAAGTATCCATGTCGTGAGATTTGTGCTTCAGTCTGTTTGTCGCTGTGGAAAGTCCTGTTACTGTCTTCTGTAATTGTTCAGATTTTGGTGATGTGTAGGACAAAAATGATAGAGAATGGCATAAAAAACACCTTTTATTGAAAGAAATTTCTTCTATAATAATAAATAATAGAAATATACCTTAAATTAGAAAAAGTATCCCCTATAAAGTACCCTCCCTCAGATGTTCCGACTATGCCCAAAAAATAATATGCTCACCTCAGGATGGATTAAAGCACACACACACACGCGCACCACACCACACGAGATAGATAGACAGACATCATCGCGAAAATGGTCAAAACGGTCAAGGATCAAGGGCGAAAAAATATTCCTATACTTTCTTTACTGGATAAAGTAAAAATGAATATTTCTCAATATAATTTTATTTAAAACAGATCTGAATTCAATCTTCATGTATTTTATAATTTAGAGACTAACAAAATGTCTAAAATATGTTTTAATAAAATGTCACGGCGATGTTTTTTCTTAAATTATCGCAGTCTGTGTTAGGGTGCCTTCTGTCTTATCAAGTAGAGTTGTGGGCTATATCTAAATGATAAATCTTGTAGAAAATATTGCTGCTAAGTTGAGAAGTGTTGTGGAATGCAGGAATTAAAGTACTTGCTTCTGATAACTAGTTTTATTGTATCTTTTTAAACTTTAAATTCAATAATCACATAACAAACAGTTGATTGATGAAAATATTTTTACATAAAAAACTAAACACAAAACATATCGTTTTAAAAAATGAATATATTTGTTTTAATGTTACAAGTTGCGACTGTTTGGCGTGAAGGTTCAAATGTCAAATTGAAAAATGTTTTGTCACGTCGAGTCTAAAAGTATGTCCTTGAATAATTGTCCACTACCTTGTGATTAGTTGAAAGAAATGGTGTGGTTTTTACCAAGTTCGCCCTGGAGAGGGATAGAGTGATGTGTTAAAAATTGTTAAGTGAGTGGTTGCATTTATTTAACAATTTACTTTAAACGGCCTTATGCAGTTGAGAGTGAAATAGTTCTGTGAGTGAGAGCGAGTCGGAGCTTATATTTATTTAAGCTGCGTATTTATTTAACAATTTACTTTAAACGGGCCCCTTGTGGGTGAGAGTGAAATAGATCTGTGAGTGAGAGCGAGTCGAAGCTTATGTTTATTGCTGGGTATTTTCCACAAAGTGAGAAAGTAGATCTCCCAGATATTCAGTTGCTTCCCGCGTAACTTGGTTGATAACCATTAAAATACGTTAGACGGCATTTACTAGGGTTAGCTTTGATTTTAGTTTATTATTTATGTATAATTTTTATTTTATGTAGGATTATTAAATTGGGTAATGCTAACTACAGATTGAATAATGAAATATTTTCTTCTTATGTTAACTATACAGTATTATGTTACATTACTTATACCACAGTTTATTGCTAAATAATCAGTTAGCTCACTCGGACCAATTGAATGTTCCAAAATAACATCCACTCCAGGGATACAAATTTCGGGAGCGCAGGAGACAGCTGTTTGAATATGGGCGGTTGTCATATATTGTATTGGTTATAGTAAGTTATAGCAGTGGGCTCACTGCAAATTTCGACCGTCATCTGATAACAAAATGAAATATGCTCCAATAGTCAATAATAATTATAAACTGTTTTTAGACAATTCTTTTAAACCAAAATCATAGTAGTTTTTTTGTTTCTATGGCAACCTGTAAAAATTAATCACAACAATAGGCATACAAATAAATTTTTAAATCGGCCATAATGCGCTGGTTCAGTGTGATGTGATTTTGGTTCCACTCTAACCAAACTTTTAACAAAAACATCAATAAATTTGACATATACGTTTCTACCGCTTTTAGTTTATTTCTAAATATTGTTTACAGGTCACAAAAAAATAGTTTAAAGGTATGTAATTGGTAACTAAACTGTTGTATATTTGATGTATGTTATCTACTTACTTTAGGAATATATTTATAAAAGTAAAAAAGCGATATAATTAGGTAAACAAAACGCTCTCAAAAAAATCTACTGCCACTTTAATTGTCAGTGGAACCATAATTACATCATCACTAAACTAGCGTATTGATTCTATTTTTAATGATTTTTACCTACTAATCGTGGATAGATGCTTTTGTGCGATGTTAAAAGGAAGAAAATGTTTCCCTTTAACGATATATATTAAGATATATTTAAATATGTTATTTTCTGGAAAACTTTAAGGGCAAACAAAATTAGCGCTGTCATGCCTTATGTAATTTTTTTAATATAAAATAATTTTTTTAACCACTTTGCTCAGGATTTGGATTGGCACAGGTGCCATTTGGTAAATAAAGTACAATTTTTTTACATGCTTTTGGGGTATATTTCATTTCGTTATCAGATGACGGTAAAAATTTACAGTGGGCTCTTGGGCTATTATGATTTGATTCTGTATGCACCAGGAATACAAATCCGAGTTGTGCAATGTATAAACTGGAACACTGAGATCAAAAGTGCTGAGACAGAGTGAGTGAACTAATTCTTTAGTTATAAATTGTGCTTATACGGGAGGTGGATCATAAAGAGAGTATCTAAACCATCTGTGTAAAGTGCTTTTGAACAGTAAGGAAGAGCCACATGTTAGTAGATTAAGTCTTCACAATTTAGTTTTAGGATTTTCCAGTCGTTATGGGACCATTATTATTGAAATAAAAATACTTTGATTTTTTAAATATTTTTCTTTTAGCAATTAGACCTCATTTATAACGACGATATAAAATGTGAAGAAGATATAATCTGTGAAAACGAGGAAACAGAATCTCTAATGAATCAATCCAATGGTTTAGGAAGTCATATTAACCTAACTGTGAGCTCGAATATAAATTTTTAATGGAAAAAAAGTTAAACAAATATTTTTTTAGGTTGGGCCAGTTGAAGAAAAATGCGAATCCGAAAAAGTGGTAGAAAATGATGGAGAACCAAATGCAGATGAAAAAAATTCAAATGATTTAAGAAATGAACCCCAGGAGGAAGTGAAGAGGGTTACTTTTAACTTCCCTGAAGAATCAGATGAGGTAAACAATATAAATATGTATTTAAATTTGTTTTTATATATTTTCCCCCAATTTTATAGGATACAGGAAACCTTTCGGATGAGTCAACAGATAAAGAAGATACTGTTGATTCGAAAACTATCAAATACCAATTTCATGCAGCACAAAGTGAACTCAAGCGCAAAATAGAAACTTTAGAATCTATATCAAATACTCATAGAAATAAAATAGAAGAATTGGATAAAGCGTTAGAGACTGAACAAAATGTTTCTAAGACTTACCTAGAAGAAAATGAAATTTTAAAGCATGAATTAGCCTTATTAAGACAGAAATGGAAAGAATGTTGTAATGAAAATCAACAACAAAAGGTAAATGATTTTTGCAACCATATCTTTATTTTTATGTTACGATTCTTTTAAGGACAAATTGATCAACATGAATGTCGAGTTAGAAATTGCTTTGGGGAAAGTGAAACAATCCAATGAGAAACTTGAAAAAATGCAAGAAAATCCAGATGAAAAACCAACAGGACCACAGCCAGCAGAACCTAATCTACTGAAACCATTAGTAACTTATGAACAATTGTCTCAACTTGAAGAAGAACTTGTTTTGATAAAAGAACGATTTGCACAGGTCAGCGAAGAAAAATTAGGACTGAAACGCGACCTAACTTCACTTAAATCCCAGTATGATGTCGTGTGTAATAGTTTTTATAATAAATTCTTTTGGTATGTCATGCCGTTGGTTGGCATGGTTCTTTATCTTTTGATTAGCGCTATGATTTCTTGATTTGTGGCTGTACTTTTGCTGTTTTTTTATTTTTTCATCGAATATCTTCTGAAAGCGATCAACGCAACGTAGTAAAGGACAACAGCAAAGGCAGGAGAATGTATTATATCAACACTAAATTTGAGCTACATACAGTTAAATTTTATTCAATTACATATTGTATCTATCTCAAACAAAGAGTAATACGCACATTTAATGTCAACTGTTTTTTTATAAGCCTTTCAATTCTTGTACAAGATGATTTAAAAGTAGATTATCTTCTTTTAACTAGTCTCTCATAAGGTGGCCAGCAAAACAAAAAAATAGTTTCTCAAATTTTTTAGCCTTGAAATTTGGTTTCATAGTAAATTAGCGGTAAGACAAATTAAAGGACCTACAACAAATTAAATGTAGCTGAATGAATCAATAAACTACAAGTCATGCACGAGAGTAATAAAATTTTCCAATAGTACTAGCCCGGAATTAGATCAGAAACAAACAACTAATTTACGGGTGTGGATATAAATTTACTTGACTACTGTGTAGAATAAAAAATTTATGAACCTTAATATCATGTATTTTTGAGTTAACACATAAACGTATTTGAAAAAATTTAACGGAAATAATTAATTTTTAAATCGTCCTGTATGTATAGCGAGTTGGTAATGGATCATTATTATAAATTACATAAAAATAATGTTTTGAAATTTCAATAATAATTTTGCTAAATACACTGCAAATATTTGAAGAGGACCAAATCATAAAAAAGTTTCTAAAAAGTTGTGTCTTTCTTTTATATAACTGATTTCTTTAAACATGAAATGGTATTAATTTGGCATCCCTACATTAGGGACTCCGCCACTAACTCAAATTTGAAAAAGTTATACAAATATTAATTTATTTTTATTCATGTAGAATATTTTAAAATTCCTTTTTCATTATACATCTCATAAAAATTGTTCAAAGGGTTCGCTACGTTATGTATGAAATCCCTATGTTTCTATTTTCTTCCTGTTTCTGGTAAAACTATTATATACAAGTTTGGGATATCTTACAGAACAGGACTGACAGTGTTTTGGAATGTTTATTCTATATCTTACCATGTACATGAATACTTCCATGATACAGAAAAATACAATTTAATAGATCCGAATTACAAATCGGAATAAAGATGCTCAACTAAGCGATCAATGTTTACTATCGCATAATATTTGCACTGCATTGGGCTACATGCACACACATGTACAAATCATTGACCATATCACCAATTATTCTTCTGCCTTTTGCTGAAACTTAAATTGTTGGTGAAACGGAATACAAATAAATAGTGCAAGTAAAATATATTCTTGTGAAAACAAATGCTATGAAAAATATGTGTTCATATCCTAGTTTATTGTATTACATAACTGCATTTTTAAAATTATATCATCAGATAAATTCGTTTCACCTAACACTTCACTATCTTGGATCTAGATCAGTTATATTTGACTTTAAAAAAAATGTATTTTTAAAATTCTTATATTCACTACGATTCGTCATGCTTTAAAACATATTTTTTAGAAAACACACAATTAGTTGAAAAGTCAAATTAGACTGAATCTAGTTTCTACAGATGAATAGCTAGTATTAATTGTAAATATTGTTTATTAAAATGTCTAGTGGTACAAATCTAAACTGATCAAAATACCTGTTTAAATAATATATATAATTTATCAAAAGCCTGTATGGCGTTTTTATGAATGAATTTAGGAGCAAGTCTTTGCGTTCGCAATAATTCTGTTTAGTAAATTCTTTTATATGTAAATACTGTTCTCGAGTTCTGTTTAAACGCACTAATATGGTTTTATTGATTAAACTTTATAGGAAAAATGTAAGTGACTAGATATCACATACAGCAAAAAGAATAAGGAAAATGTCTTTTCTCTCTTTGCACATTTGAGAAGTAATTTTATTATTGTAATGTTATCTTTTTTACATTAAATCATCCTACTAATCAACAATTTATAATTTGAATATACATGAATTTTTTTATATGTTTGCTTTGGACTTTTATCCTTAGGTTATCTATTTATGAAACATACCAAATTCGAGACAAATCACATAATATATAAAGGGTATTTGTTCTGTTACATTTTTTTTACAATAAAGTACCTTCATTATTCTCGAAATATCTGTAAGGTTTTCACAATATGCAAACATTTCTTTACAACTTTAAATCTCTTGGAATCGAGTAAAAGATAGGGCGTTTTAAAAGTAAAATAATGGGACATGAGGAACTAACTGACAATTTAATACTATTATATATTAAAACCGATTTCGTGATGCAAAAGGTATTATTATAACTAGACAATACTAATTTTACTGGTAAAATTTTGCTCTTTTTCGGTCTTTTTCTACGTGCACTATGGTCCATTTGCACCTCTAGTAGTTAAGAACTTAAATTGACATTTTTACTTTAACAATGTCACTATAGCTTCGCTTATTTTCTAACGACTAGCGGTGCAAATTGCTCTATAACTTGTGTATGTGAGCCTTTTAAGTACACATTACTGATAATAATGACAAAATTACTAAGTATGAGATTCGAGTCATTATTTTTATGTTTTCTAATTCACATCGATGGCGTATGCATTTGTGGTTGTGGTAGTAAACATTTAAAATTTAATTAACCCCCTAATAAAAATATTTTTAATTTCAGGAAAGTTTACAAATTGACCTGTTTGAAGGTATAATATTATTTTTTGCATGTGGCGAGAATGGATTGAAGTGTTGAATATTGTATACCATTGTTTAATGTTTACTTTGAAAGCTCCTTTTGTGTCATCATGTATTATCGTTTGAAATGCATTCATTAATAACAAAATTAGCGTTTTTAGAACATCTCGATCGATTTGACTCCTATTTGGTATTTCTTAGTTCAAGGTGAAAGTGAAAGATCAATATTAAAGTTAAAATATTTAAATATACATTCATTCGGGTATGTATCTAGTATCAATAATGTATTGGTCCTTTACCTGGAATTTACAGAGTACAGTATTTATTAACTGAAATTACTAATATCGTTGATACTTGCTCATTAGCTCCATAGTTAATAATTTTGAGTGAATACTTTAATTTTAAATGCAATTTTACTTTATTTTGGGTTCAGTTGATCAACAGTAAACCAGCCTATGTTTTGATCATTGTTCTATCTTTCCGATTGAAGCTACATTTCTGAAATTTTTCATATGTAAAGTATTTATTATATTCTTTCATTTGCAAGGAACACTAAATTTGTAAAAACTCAAATGTTCAAATTACAGCAATAAGAAAATGCAACTTGGTTCGCTGTGGAACACTGCGGTTACACAATTAATCACATATGTTGGAGAGTTTATTAAAAATTAAAACATACAGTTTAAAAAAATATTAGTTTTGAAACAAAACCGTGACAAGTTATCAAATAGAAAACAGCAAAATGGTAAAACTTTTGTCATTAACGCATATTTAGTGCAAATGGTCCAGGGTTAACCACTGTACTTTCTAATAAAAAAATTTAAACTAAAACCTAAGGGCAGTTTCGTTTTTTACTTAGAAATATAAGGCATTTATCATTACAAATAAGAAATAATAGCAACTATGATGTAAACAAAGAAGTCATGCAACAGAAGACTCAGTTCTGAATTTTTAGTTGATAAACAAGAAACGATTGGGGCTCGGAACTGTCTTTTTTGACCCATACACTTTAAACTGTAGTATTTTAAATTAGGTTGATGGAGGGGGTGGTTCGCTCTGTCCGGTTGGTTCACTGTTAAACAACTGACCCTATTTATATTTTAAATGTATTTCGCGTACAATTGTAAATTCAATATTCTTATTTATTTTTTTAAGTTTACGAGTGTTTTATACAAATGTGACAATTTCCTTATTTCTAATTAAACAAAAAAAGATTCAGTACCTTGTTATCTACGGTCTAGAACGTTTTGACGCTTGTCGATTTGATGCCAAAAAAGATATAACGATTAATAAATATAATAAAATTCAGAATAACATGATGCAAAAAATATATCAATAATTAATACCAAAAAAGTGCTGAAGAATTAATTAATTGAATCTTAGATTCAGAGTGTTCTCTACAGCAAACAGCCGTTAACAAGCTGTTGTATATAATTATTCATTAATAGGATAGAAAACGTATACGTTGAATTTAATGTTTTTAAATACAGGAACGGATTTTTCAACACGAACAGTATGCATTACAATGAGTTGAACAGTTTAATAGGAACATACATATGAGAGAAAGAGAGCAAAGATACGACTTCGACTTCTGCATGTCCTACTACAAACAGATTTAGGCTCGACAAAACATTGGTCTCTTCCTGATATATGCATGTTCCTATTATACCTTGTTCTACTCACTAGGTATATTTTTCAAGTTGAAAATTCCATACCGGTATTTTTAAGAAATGAAATATGGTGTAGCAATATATGATATATGGCTCAACGCCTTCATCTTCTAGGAATCTCAGTTATTTATAAAAATTTGAAATCAAAACAATCACAAAAGGAAAATATAGATTAGGCGATACAATTTTTTTTTTAATGTCATGACACCTTTATTCACTTTCATCTTCATTTTTTTCGTAGAAATGATATTACAAGCTAGCTGCGTACTGATTTTAAAATACTATCGAAAATGTTATTTTTTGCCGTCAAAACATCTAGGCGTCGAAACGCCGGTGCCAAACCAACCGCATCAAAACGTCCCATTCTATTTGCGAACAAACTTGATTTTGTACTAGCCATATAAATATTTACAATTATAGCGAATATAAAGCAGACTAAAGTAATTCATTCAACAAAGCAAATAAGTTATGTCGTTTTTAAGGTATTTTTGTGAAAATAATTTTAAAAAGTGCCATATGCCATTTTATTTGAAATTTTAGTACAAAAATCAAAAATAAACTTGAATAATGCTGATTTTTTATTTTGTTAATGCGCTCTTGAATATGAATTTGGATGTATTTGTGATTAAAAATCGGTTAGGACTAACAATTGTTATCAGTGAATTCAAGTGTACTGTCTAAAGATTGTTAAGACCATTGATGGTTTCGTAGTGAGAAATGTTTGTTATGTTGTATTTTATGTTAGATTACATAGTTTCATT